ACTTTGAGGTTTAAGCATTTTTTCTCCTTAAGAGAACTATATTTGTTTTCAGGAAGTTTAATTTTTCGTGCCCTGCTCTCACCAGCTTCCATCCTTCTACATTAGCGAGAAAAAAAATTATACATACGCATGATGTGTTGGTGGCTGACTCATATTTGTCAGGCTAAAATGAACATGACCAAAGTTGTAGATTCTCTCGGCGATTAAAAAAAAATACCAAACAAGACCAGGTTTTTTGTTGTTGTTGAGGTTTTCATTTATTTATTTACCAGGAGCTGTCCATTAAAATGAAAGTTACAACCGTGACACGATTACGTGGACTCGTTTTACCGACAAAATTTATCAGATGAGCCGTGAAGACGGTCGGACCCGCCTCTCTGGTTGCAGTGCGCGCTCCCGACACAGGGGGAACAGATTTTCACAGGGGAACAGAATTTCGCACAAGACCGGCTTGCTGCGGTCTGCGGGCCGGTTCTAATAATAAATCAAGATCATCCCAGGGGCCGTAAAAAACCTTCTCGCGGGCCGGATGTGGCCCGCGGGCCTTGACTCTGACATATGTGCTGTAGAGTACTTTAATCGTGAGTTGTAGTTTACTTCACAAAGCTTCAGCTGTGACACGAGGTCAGGTGTGAGGGACGGGCAGGTGCTCTGCCTACTGCAGGACGCTGTGTGAGAACACCGATCAGGTAACGATGAAAACGCAGCTCAGATGAATATCAGGATGTTTTGTCCTCTCACATCGACCCACAGAAGTGATGAGTGCAGGTAACGAGAGAACAGCAGCTTCTGATCCGAGTCCTCAGATCGACAAACACCAGAGAGACTCTGGAGACGCCACAGAGCTGAGTTCGGTCTGCTGCTCTCAAAGCGTTGCAGTCGTGCCGTAATCACAAATAATTATTACCCCAGAAGTTAGACATTTTGTCACGTTAGCCTTTTAAATGTACACACAGTCATCAGATTGATCTGCATTTTCCGTCTACACAGGTGTTGTATATGAATTGGTTTATCAAAACTAAAATGACATAAATCATCCTGTTTCTGATCATTATTATCCCACCGTAACATCAACAATCCAGTTCAGTTAAACCCTCAGACTCAAAAACTCATTTCTTCACTTTATTCCTACAAATTGTTGCATCATTTCCAACTAGCCAACAGCTGTCTTAATCTTTTCAATATTCTCTCTTATCAGTCTGGTTTCCATGGTTACATTCTTGATGTTTCAAATTATGGCCAGCATCTGCGTTTTTATTTATTTATTATTTTATTGACGGCTTACTGAGCTTATAGGAGTTTGTATGTGCCGTTTTCAAAAAGTCCCATTGGTTGTTTAGAACAGCTGGGGCTGGCGTCCCACGGTGGGTCAAGAAACACCATTTCTTGAGGAAGTCCTCAGTACTCGTATTCACTTTAAGAAGAATTGCCTTTGGCATGGTTACATTAATAATGAGATGAAGATGGTCATCATAAATAAGTAAGAAGTAAAATATTGGTTGATGTTTAAGATGTTGATTGACTTATGAGCGATGTTTAAAAACTTCGCCCAGAAACTTTTAGGGTCATAAGTTTGTGCAACTTTTATATTTTGGAAAAATGTGGAAAAGTTTGTGAAGCACTGCTTTAGAAAATGATAGGCGTCTTAGTTTTTAGGAGTCGGGGTTTGTGAAATATATTTTTGTAATATAAAACAGCAGCATTATTAGTATTTTAGTGTATGTAGGCTTTTAAAATATTCAAACCCACGTCTTATGAACTGCTGTATGCTTCGGTGTTTATCAAAGTTTAGACTGTAAATAAAATGTAAAGTCAGAATACAGAAACTCATTCAATCAAATCGTTCTGCATGCTTTTGTCACTTTAAATTAATTGTGGCCTGGAGGAAAAATCATAAGCAAAAACCTACATTAAGATTGGTTGAGAAACGTTTAATAATAAATACAAATTTCTGACAAAGAACAAAAAAATGCCAATTGTTCTGGTTCCACTTTGTCTGTTAGAAAATCATCAGCCCCTAAAGCTGCACAAGTTTACTCATTAAACATTTTGGCAATCGTTGCGTTAAATGTTCATAAAAAGAAAATGTAAAGTTGGAACAGACGATATGTTTTTCTTTGCTTTGGATGTCAGTTTGGCCTTCTTTACCAGTCTCCATATTTACAGACGGTAAGTCACCGTCGGCTGTGATCGAAGCTGTTGGCTTCACACAGGAACAAGCCTCTGCTCTCACAGATCCACCAGCAGTTCACATGAAGGTTAAAAACAGCTGCTCCATCCTCACGCTCAGTCAGCCTGAAGCATGTCTGAATTACCCAGCATGCTCTCTGCCAGACCTCAGACTCCGCTCTGACTGATGCTACAATTAGGTACACATGTGGACTGAAAAGGAGGACATGTTCAGCTGCAACAGACCTCCTACTTGCTGTCACTCACAGGATGTAAGCCAATCAAAAGACCTGAGGCAGACTGGTAACTGCTTGTACTTCCTGTTGGAAACATTTGATCATTTTAGTTTAAATGTTTGATCTGGCTAAGTGGGTGCCTTTAATTTCTAAACTTCAGCTTAATCATTCAGAAGTACTGATCTGATTTGACACAATGTAATTTGATTCGTGGTTAAGAAGATGTCTCACTCTGTCTGAGTTTTTGGAAACAAAGACGGTCTTAATTTTTCCTCATCAGATTTCAACTGCAAAGGAAAATCTTTAAAAAAAAATAGTTATAAAACATTAGAGCTTCCGCACCACCTTTGTTTTCTTTCAAACTTTACAGGTTTTTAATCGGTACAAGTCAAGGAAGCAATGAAAATCCTTAAGCAGGTACAGACCTACTAAACAGTTTGTGCCTTTTTCTTTGGGCTGTTTGGTAGAATGTTCAGCTTTATGGGAAATTAATGACATTATTTATTATTATTATTATTATTATTATTATTTGTTGTTGTTGTTGTTGTTGTTGTTGTTGTTGTTGTTGTTGTTGTTGTT